GTTGTGGCATGTTCTGAGTTCTTTGGGTGTAGGGGAAAAAAACCCCAAAAAACTAAACGCCAAACCCAACCATGGCAACACTGAGATTTTAAATTAGGCTTATGGTATGAAGCCAGTTTTAAATAACATAAAGGGCACAAGAGGGGTTATTAGTATGTAATTACTATCATAATGTTTTATTTACAATGTCTAGTCTCCTTGAGTCTAAGCAGATTTGAAAATTCATTTAGTTTCTCTTGATAAAATAAACTGATATAGCCAATATGATTTATATTTACATATGTAAATCAAACCAATATGTGTCTAAAGCACACATGGACTAACTCAGTCCAACTGTTTCAGAGATGGTTGTGAGGAATGATATGGGATAGAGGTAAGTGGAGATACCTTTCTATCAATTTTTTCCTGAAATCACTTAGAATTATAATACATTTGAATAAACTCTTGATTAATCTGTTTTCTGACATTATGGTGAGACAGCACATAGATCTGATACTCAGTTTGTGGCATTCCTAATAATCTAGATTCCTTACTTGCCCAGTTCTGCAGCAGATCACGTTTAGAGTGTTAGAATTTGAAACTGAAATAAGGATTCACTTTGCTTTTTTAACAGGTATTTGTCTTCATTTGTGTTCTGGTTTTGATTTAGTGTTGTTAATGTTTTGCACATGGGTGGGGTAGAGCATAATTCATATCAAATGTGGAGACATTGATTATTTCATTAGAAGTGATGGCTGGTGGATTTACTGATAGCGTTATATTTGAGTAATTTAGTCCATAATTTATATTCTCCTTTTTACTTAAGCATTTGAAAGCTGAATGCTGCTGCTGAGACTGGCAATTTACTTTTACAGCTTTAGGGTTTCTCTTTTTGTCATGTAGCTAAATGGAGTATTTTTTATTTTAAGCTCACAAAGTCAACCAAAATGCAGGACTTGATCTTATGATCAAGAAATCATATTTGTTTTCTTTAGCTTCTGCTACTAATACTATTTAGACCTTTAACCATAGTAAGAACTAAACGTGCAATTCAGGCATTGGTCCCCAGAACTGGCACATGGCTTCTTATTAATGTTCAAAGGCTAAAAATCTGAAGCCATTTTGAACTCAGAAACCATCATGTATTTATTTCCCTCTCTAATTTGCAGAAAACTAGTTGTGAAAACAGCCCCAGGGACCTGATATTTTTCCATCCCATCTGCTCCAGCTGAACTACATCTGCAAAAAAAAAACTTAAGTATTGTTTCTATAAACTGTTGAGTGTATTTTATAACACAATAATTCCCACAAAATCAGTAACTGCAGTTAATGACTGGTTTGTTAAGGCATTAACTGCACTCAGCTGGGAATGACCAATTTCTCAGGAATGACTGTGTAAGAACTAAGACTAATTCAGTTACACTTTTAAATAATAATTTGGTTAATTAATGGTAGATTCTTGTGGAAATCCTATCAAAGTGTTTGTGACCCCCACATTTAATATCCAATGATTTCATTATGATTCATGTTTTATTATAAATACCAGAAGAATCCTAATGACTAGACCATTATTTTCCAGGGCTGCCCTTACTGCTTTAGGCCATTTGGCTATTCCACTTCAGTCATAAAAAGCTTGATGCTCAAAACTTACCAGCATTTGTAGGCCACAATTTTCTGGCACCCCACCAAAACTTTGGTGATTTTTTGAACACATTTGGCAGAGTTCTGTTTTGTGGTTTGTTTTTTTTTTTCTCTTGTTTTTTCTAGTTAGGGCAATAATTGATCCTTACTCTACCCAGTCATAAGGAAGTCTTCCTTGCAATGTCTGCTTTTTCACATGTGGCCTTCAGCAGTGGTCAAAAATAGCAGAAAAGGTATCACTTGGGTGCTTTGGAAAGCTGTTTTCCAGCCAGGTGCTGGGCAGGGTTTGAAATTTTTACAGCCAAGTCTTTACGTAATACTTGAGTCAGGGTTAATTAATTAGCATTCAGATGAGTAGAAAATAATTAGAAAAAGGAAGCTTGGTACTGAGATATTCAAGTAATAGTCAGCAGCTGCCAGTTGATATTTTTGGAAGTGAAATACCAATGTGAAAGGATGAGCATTGGTAGGTTTTTTTAGGGTCTGTCACTTCTTTCCCTTTTGTGTAACCTTCAGCCTGTAGGTCATGCTTTGAGTTTAAAATGCTTTAGCTGCTGTCTATCCTCTTCCTAATCTTTAACCAACTCCTACCTGGTCTCCAATCAGTTTCCCAGCAGGCTGTGTGCTTCCCAAGTGGGCATGAGATGAACAGTTGTGTTAGATCATGTGCTTAGGAACAGCCACCTACTCTTGATTTTCCTGTAGTGTTTTACTCTTTGGATGAGTTGTTGCTGTTGTGTGTGAGAGCTGACAAAATCACAAGATTCTGCTTTTCCTTCATCAAAGTGCATCCATAGGGAAAAAGAACAGTGAAACTTGCAGACAGCAGCCTGGAATCGCTTCCTTTCTTGGAAATGAAAATGAAATTAAACTTAAAACACATACACGGTTAAAAAAGATGGGTGAGTGGCAGACTGTTTACCTTCAGGTTTTGTTCTGTAGTTTACTTTTAACATCAAATTAGTAGAATTCACTGGTTTTACTCACAGTTGAAAAGTACTTCCTTGCTGAGGCTGTGCAATGGTCTCTGTTCCCCCTATTGACAATAGGACAGGGCAGTTCAGGGAAAATTGGCCAGGTAACTGTACAGCAAGCAGGAATTTAAATTCAGTTCTCTTGGAAACTGTAGCTGTCTTTGCCTTTTGTGTGTCATGAAATCTACTTTATGGAATGCACTTTCGAATAATTATTTAAGTGCTAGTCAGTAGAAAGCAACTCATTAGGAGTCTTTTCAGATGAAATAAGTTTATTTGGATTTCACATATTCTTCATACTTCAGGTTGAGTATCTGGGTATTTTTGATTATTTTTGGTAGTTTTGAAATTGAGGTAGTGATGTCATTTAGCACTGACACCCAAGGAGGTGTTCAGGCATCAGAAAAGTTATTGTGACCTTTGAAAAAATAGGAGTTAGAGGAAACTCTTCAGGATTTTCTAAGAAAGAAAACAGAAGGCCTTTACTGTTATATCAGCCTATTATGATTGAAAATAAGCCACTAATATTGCCAAGTACCAGGAAGCTGATGAGCTTACCAAATGTAAAATTGTGCCTTCACTGATGCTTTATATTAGCACAAATGAAACTTGCAAGAATAAGGAGGAAGAAAAAATCCACAAAGGACAGAGGTTAAACAGTATCATTTAGCATCATTCTTGTTAATGGTCTGGCAGTTCATATGAAGGTCTGGTCAAATTTCATTCCAGTTTTTCTTGTTGGTGTTTTGGGGAGTTTTTCTCTCTTTTATGCTGGCTTGCCTTCACACACAGTTTCCTGCATTATCCAGCTATGTGTAGTTGTAAATTCAGTCTTGTTTTAAGTCCTAAATACAGGCATGGAGTGTTAAGAGCAGTGTAAACAGATATTTTTTTTCCTTAGACCCATGAAATTTGGAGGAATAATTTCTTCTGTATACTTCTAAATTTGTGCAGAAGAAACCTTTACCTGTATTTGTGGGAATTTTCTTCTATGAAATAGTTTTCCCAATGTTTCTGTGGGTGAATAGGTAGATAAGGTGACCAGTCACAGGAGAAGCACTAGAGAGAACACACTTCATTTTGTTTGCTGGTACCTTCCGTGCTTTTATTTTCATAATTATCAGAGTAGCTTTCACATTTGGGCATTATCCTTCCTCCCATATTAAATGTATGGAAGATTATGATACCAGTTATATTTTTTCAAGCAGCTAAGACTCTAGAAAGATTTGAAAGGTCAGCTCTGATTTTAGGTTTAGTGTGGCTAAGAATACTTCACTCACGTGCATGGCAGCTGCCAGAGGACTTTTATGGGTCTCTTTGGATAATTCATTCAGTTTTGAAAAGGGCTCATTCTCAGGATAAAGGCATCATATCCTTGCTGCTCAAAGGAAATTCCAGCTCCCAGTGATGTATGCAGAAAGAAAATTTTGCTGTGTTTGTTGCTGTTTGAGGTCTTTGTGCTTTGGCAGATTATTACACAGATATTTTCTGACTTACCTTAAATACAAGTGGGAGGTAGGATATTGCTGATGAGTTGTGGAAGAGCTGTGAATGAATCTGGAGTTGGTGACCTTATTACATCCTAGTTTAACTAATGTACACATTCAGATGCAGGGTTTATCCCATATATAGCAAATATCCTGCTTGTGCATGGCTAGAGAGTTTGAGAATGCTCAGTGGGTTTCAGCAGTGAGTCAGAAGCAAATTCATCTGTGTTCTTAAACATTTGTATGTGTGTATGTAAGATGATTTTATAGAACCTTTCAGTTAAATACTTCACACCCCACTCACATTAACTGCTCCAAATTTCATTGAGAGTCTTTCTCTTTGGTAAATATCTCTATGAAAATGTGATGTAGTTTTGATCTGTATGAAACACAAAAGGCACCAATGGGATAATATTGTTATTTAGAAGAGTAAAATAACCAGTATTCACTTGAAAGGCAGTGGAATCCTTCTACAATACTTTTTAGTGGCAGTTCTTATTTTTCTCTCTGGCACTGGTGTATTCTTTATTATTTCACTTTTAGACAAGATTGTTATTTAAATAATAATATTCACAGCTAAATCTTAATTTTCTAGCTGGAAATTGATTAAGCCTTTCTCTGGATGGCCAGTCATTATTAAGCATTCCTTTCACAAAATAAATATCTTGCACAGTGGGATTAAGGAAGTGTTTTGAGGTGCTGGGAAGAGGAAGGAATATTTACCATTGCCCTGGTACCCTCTTTGCATTAATACGTGGTTCATTTGGTTAGGCCAGGCCAAGACCCTTTCATTAACGTGTCATTTCTGATTTAAATTTTCCCTCTATTAGCTAGGATTGTTCTGCTTTTCATTTTCCTCTTTTGAGTATTTAACAACAGCTAAAAGTTCTCCTAAAAATACATTTTTTTCTCCTTTTAGGGAACGAAAATAACAAAAAAGTAGCGATCTGCATTCTGTATCACATCAGCATGGACGATTGCTTTAAATCGATGTTTGCATATACAGACTGCATCCCTCAGGTACGTGACGAGCTGTTAAAATCACTTTCCCTCGTGCTCCGAGTCCCTCCCTCGCTCATGGCAGAGCTCGCACTGACACCCGCAGGTGACAAAGGGAACAGCCACTGTGCTGCTTGGCACTGAGGCACCTCCTCCTCCAGGCACTCTTCGGGCTTTCACGGTCCCCAGCAAGAGCAGAGGTGACCGATCTCTGTCACTGCTGCTGACACTTGAGCTGCACCAGTGAACTGCTGAAATTACAGGTGACCCGGAGGATTCCTACAGAAGATCAGGAACGCTTGAGAGAGATTAAAGCTTGTGCAGAGCAGCTCTCTAGGGAACGTAGTGGAAAGTATTTCCTCTACAGTTTTAGAAGGCATTCTTGCCTGATCCCATTGGGTATCAAAATTTCAATGTCTCCAGTATTGCAGGATATGAGCTGGAAACCAGCCAAGCAGGGTTACATTCCTACATGACAATTCCTTTTCCAACTGCAGGCATGTACAGCAAGGAAGACTTGATGAGTGTGGAAGGATCTTCACTGATAGTTCAGCCTGCATTTTCTTACTTAACCCATTGACTCAAGCAGACATAGTATCACGGGGTTTGGGGTTTTGTGGGTATTTTTGGTTTTTTGTGTGCATGTGTTTTGTTGTTTCTTGTTAGTCTGGGTTTTTTTGTTTTTCTGAAGTACCAAGTCCTCTCATATTGACCATTTTCCTCAGCCTTGGTGAGGCTGCAGTTAAGAAAGTCTGTGTTACCTAAGTGTAAAGGCTCTTTGGTAGCTTTTTCAGAATTGCACCATGGTATCTTCTTTCCTGCCAAATGGGTTTTTAACATCAAATACTCCCAGAATGGAAAGTTGTCATGGAAGTGATCAGAATGTTTCTGGTTGTTATCTTATGGCAAAATTAGTGAAGTTTTTCCAGTACAAGACGATTCTGCATAATAGAGAGGAGAGAACTGATGGGAATAAATAATATATATTACAAAATGATCTTGTAAACATCCTGCTGTCTTTTCTACCACAAGAAGCAATTACCTTTTAAGGCATTCGTGTGATACAAAGGACCTGCTTTGTTCTAGCAGTTACCAGCCAAACTCAAATTCCTGCACCAGTGTCTTAGGACTTGCTTTGTGATGTGCGTTCAGGTAATCTTGGTATGACTCCTGGACCCTCAGTGCTTAACAGAGCTGTGTCCAAAAACTGGTGGAGCAGCAAACAATTCTACTGCCTTCACTGGGCTTTAGTGAAGTAAACAACCAAGATGCAAAGTATAACTACGCATATTGGTGCTTCACAGGTCACATCTGCACACTGTTCAAAAAGAAACTGAGCAACCAGAGCTTAAATTTTACTATTGAATGTTCAAAATTAGGATGGTTATCAAGGAAGACAGGTAGCAGAAAGCATTAGGAAGTGGATAAGGCATCAGGAAAAGAAAATTACTATTTTAAATGGACTCACTGCTATCTAAATCTACCCAAGAAACCCAAAATCTCTCTTCAGTAGTGGTATATGCCCTTGCATGGGTTTGTCTCTTTTTGAGGAAAGGTGTTAATCAACAAATACTAATTAATGTTCAGTGGTAGTAGGAAGAGCTTGGAGAAAGCAGCCCCTGTGGCGATTCTGGCTGCGTGAAGTGCTTGCCCAGGGCTCGCGCGTGCTGTCCCGGCTAAACATCCTTGTGCATTGCAGGAGTTAGTGGGTGCTACTCTAGTAACAGTTAAAAGTGAGTATTAACAGTTCATTCTTGTTTAGACCTCAGCAATGCGTGTTTTGTTTAAATAGGTGCAAATGCCATCCAGATGCTTATAAAAGCCTTTATTGGTAATAACCTGGCCAATCAAAGGGCATGGTTAGGCAGTGATGTCATGGTGATATTTAATATTTTACCGCAGAGCGGTGTGCAAGGTTCTCCAAAGCTGCCCACATGTTTTCCACCACGGTTGTCCTGTTTGGGCCCTCTTTGATCTCTAAGCTTCTTTTCAGCTTAATGCTGGTAAACGTCCTCTCTTGACAGCCCCCTTTGCTCCTGTCCGCCATTATCTGCTGAAGTTCAGAAACCAGAGCATCACTTCAAACAGCAGAGTTGGGAGTAGCCGCTCAGGAGAGATTCCTGAGGCATGCAGTTCTGGCATAATCATTCAAAGATGTTGGAGCTGGGCTTGGGGAGGGGGTTGGACAGAGGTGTATGTGAACACAGAGCTGTGGGGGTTGGCCTCTGGTCACTGGTAAATAAGTGAAGGCAGGTGCCAGAGAGTCTAGACACAGTGATTTCAGTGCTGGTCTGTGGTATCTGATACTCAATATGGGACTTGTCTGATTGAACACTACTGCCTCTTCATTGCACATGCTGCAGTCTTTTTACTGCCTTCCTGTTAAATCAGTAAAAGATGACAATGGACATAGTAAAAGCAGAACAAATTTAATTTTAATATTTCCTATTTGGCAGCAATTACTCTTCCTTTTGAAGTGGCACAAGAAGCAATCAAATTAAATGAAGACATAATGGGAAACATGGAACTCGCATGAAACTATTATTTTAAAATTTGAACGGCTTTAATTGAAACTGTATATATTTTTTCTTTTATAGAGAAGTAGTTCAGTAATTAACAGTGTAATCCCATCTTGTTAAACATTTAATTTCCACAGATTTTGTATTGTGTAAGTAATGAGAATGTTTGTTTCCCTTCAAATTATTTGAAGGGTTTTAAAAATCTATTTTTAAAGGTTTTGTAACTGAAGAGTTGCAGGAGGTGATTTTTGAATGCTCATGTTCTACTTGTTAAATGGCAATTTTCTTCTCTGTTAATTCCCTCTTTTGTGACTGTCAGGCTTAAGGATTTAATAAACCAGGGGTTTTATAAGTTCTTAAAACAACCTAGAGAAATCTGATTCTACCTTTTTAAGAAAAGGAGGAAGAAATCAATGATAGCTTTTAAATGAGCACATGAAAGTCTCAGGAAAGACATAAATAGCTATGTTGTAATACAGTTTTTATTTGGGGGCTTTTTGGTTCTGTGTGGAATGAGAACCTGATATAAGATAATAGGTAAACTTACAGAATGGCTGGAGTAAAATAATTTTGAGAGAATTCTTGCAATCCTATTGTTTTTCTTTTCTCCTCTTTAAATGGATTCTACTTTCTCTAGCTTTTAATGCATTACAAACTTGTCTTTCCACCAGGGGGCAAGCACACAAATATTTAATGATTAATAATTAAATTTAATGAAAATTTGTTGCTTTCTTGTCCTCCCGCTCCTTTTTGAGCTGCATTTTTTTGTACCTTATATCCTGCTTATCTTTAGGCTTAGTTGTTTCTTCTTCCAGTAATCTCAGTCTTGTCATCACACTGGTTTGCATTATAATCTAACTATGTCTTGTGAACTGAGTGGGTTTTAGAAGCAAACAGGGTGGTGTCCCCCAGCCCTGAAGTTGTGCAGGGCTTGTCTGCCAGGATTGGAACCAGAAGGAAAAGAAATGGGTTCATTTCAGTCATGTTCATATATTCCAAATGCCATTTCAAAACCTGTTCCTGTTGAATCAAATGAGCCAGGATAGCCAGCCTGTGATGTAATGGACAATACAGGGCCAGGTGTATAAAATGATGGCAATCCATAGGTTAGGAGCCTTGGGAATCACCTGGGAATTCACTGACATTTGCTGAACCGTTTGAATGGGATTATAGGTGATCGTATACTTACATTAATGTTACCAGAATAATGGGGTTACTGCTGAGGAGTCTGTGGGATGTGGCAGTGTTCACCTCAAGCTGGAAGCTGCAAAGAGAAAGAACAGTGCTTCAGAGACAGCTAAAATTACCTATCAATAGAGTGACTCACAGCAAAATAGTAGTAGAATTATTTTGCAGTTAAGTACCTGTTTAGAGTCATAATTTTATTAAGCTAAATAGGTATTAATCTCACTTTCTGTGGAATTAAGTTGTAGGGTTTTTTTCCCCTATATTAAATTCACCTAAGCTTTCAAAACAAATTTATCCATTCACAAATACTAAAAACCAGTTAAACAAAAATTTCAGTGGTAGCAATAAAATGTAACTAAGCCAAGATAATTTAAGGTGATGAGTGATTGCCATTTTTGCCACTTTAAAGGATTGTTATCCCTAAATAATGGAACTATACATATCATGCCCTTGACCTTTATAACTTTCACTGTTCTTGTAGAAATGCTGAATACTGATTTTGAAAAAAGGTACTGTAGTTGATACCATAACACTCCTTTTCTAATGCTTTGGAAAGATCAATGACCCAAGTGTGCTTGTATTTCTTGGCAGTTAATGAAGATGCTTTTTGAATGTCCTGATGAGAGAGTTGACCTGGAACTTATTTCTTTCTGTATTAACCTTGCTGCCAACAAAAGAAATGTGCAGCTTATCTGTGAAGGTAATTGGACTGAGGTTTTTGGTGGGGGGTTTGGAGATGACAACACTTTATATATTTCTCTTATTATACTTACATATGTAAATTATATATATTTGAGTTATTTATAAATGTATTTATGTGTTTTTAAAAAAATAAAATTCATGTGTTTGGTAATGCTGGCAACCAAATGGCCACATGCTCCTCAGAATTTGCTCTTGGTGGCAGGAGTGGCACTTAAGGGAGATGCCCACACTTCTTGTACATGCACACAGTTTTGAAATACAGGCTGATGACAGGCTGATTGCTGTGAGAAACTATGGCTGTATGGAGACATCAGGGTTTTACTCTGCCTGATGTCTAAAATCCAGTTTTGGCTGACTGGTGTTTCACCTGCCAGTATCACATGAATAGCAGTGATGTCTTTCAGTTGCATCTTTCCATTAATTTTTTTATTATAATTGAGCTTCTTTTGGGTTCTAATATTTTGAATCGTGGTCTACATAGTTCTGATTTTGCAGTAACTGGATTTTTTTAAAGTTCCATTATGTTCATACTAGCTAGCAGTTTTGAATAAAACAATATTACTCAGTAGCCCCAACTTCCACTTCTGCTCAGCATATTCCCTAGGAACTCCTGCATTCAGTTACTGGCCTTCGAAGTTGCAATCAAGAGATTCTGTGGACTGAAATTCCATTTTAAAATTCTGTGCATAGCTCTGTAGAAGGGGGAGCAGGGAGATCCAATTTTATATTAAAGGTGAAAGTCAAGCTAGCAGCACTTTTTAGGTAGGCAAGGGTGATCTTTTGGAAGCATAATGGTAACAGTGGGATTTGTTCTATGTGGTCAAGTACTTCAGATCTTTTCCTATGCACTGATCTTTGGTAAATAAACTTTTAATACCCTAACAACATATTTAGTCTGTGCAATGGGGAGGGAAGACTCTGTGCCTGGACTAACTGGTGTGCACTTTTTCATTCTAAACTTTTAAAGCTTAAAGCATTTGTTTGTGTGCATGTTGATGTTTGATCTGCCAGTACTTGCTTCTTTTTTGTCCTGTTTGTTTCTTTTCAGGAAATGGTTTGAAAATGCTCATGAAGCGGGCTTTGAAGTTTAAGGATCCATTGTTAATGAAGATGATCAGAAATATTTCACAACATGATGGGCCAACTAAAAGCCAGTTTATTGTAAGCATTAGGTCTTACCTAATGTGATCTTGTTATTTATCCTTCTGGAAAAGTCTGGTTCTGGAGAGCTGCCATGGTTTGTTTTGTAGGGTGTCCAGTTTAAGTTTCCTTGTCTGTCCTGGGGTGATTTATGTTTTGTTTTATATTGCTATCTCATCTGGTAAATCAGAGTTTGGATCCCCCACTAAAGGGAAAACAGGTCTTAAGCCTTATCCAATAGGTTTCAAAACAAACAAACAAACCCAAGCAAACAAACAAAAATGCCCCAGCTGCTGGAGTGAACATCATAAAAATTAAATTATCCTAAATTTCTGCTTTTGGACCTAGAGAGAAAAATCTGGTGTGTTTTTTTTTTTTTCCTTCAGTGTGCCAAGTGTGATTTTATTTGTAGGTATTTTAAATACTTAATATTTAAATACTGATCCTGTAAAGCCACCCTTTTGAAAGAAAAGGAGGAAAAGCCATTTTTCCCCTGTTAATGTCCTCAGAAAAATCTTCTAGTTATTTATTAAAATCTTTAGGTAAAGAGCTCCATTACTGCCTCTAATGCAGGATGGTTTTCTCTTTCTTCTTTTCCTTTTTTTCTAAGAGCTTTTTTAAACTCTGTGTAGTAGTAACCACTTTTGGAACGTTGGAAACAAATGATCCACATCTCTTGAAAATGAAAGATGGAGGAGAAGAGTTCCTGAAATGTTTTCTTGGATTATTCATCAACTGGAATTGAAACTGCCTTATTAGTCCTTATTTCAGGAGCAAAGTCTCTTTAGTTTTCTTTTGAGAACTAGCTTTAGTTTGGCTGAGATGTGAGCTCTTCAGAAATCCAGTTTATTCATTTGTAATGCTTGTTGCTCTATTTTCTTCAGGAATATGTTGGTGATCTAGCAGCTCAAATATCAAATTTTGAAGAAGAAGAGTTTGTGATTGAATGCCTGGGAACACTTGCAAATTTGACCTTACCAGAGTTGGACTGGGAACTTGTGCTGAAGGAATACAAACTGGTTCCATATCTCAAGGATAAGTTAAAACCAGGTCTGTACAAAGTTGGATTGGGCTTCCAAAGCAGGGTCTCTCCAAGAATATTTTGAGTGCTCAGAGTAGAGTCTATTTACCTTTATAATTTGTGGTTGTTTAGGAAAACAGAACACTGAAGAATAGAATCATGTCTGCAGATAAATACACAACTACCGGTTGATTAAGAATTCCTGAGAGAGGTAATACTTCCTACTTGCTGCCTTGTGCCTTAGCAGGTTCTGCTGAGGATGACCTTGTTTTGGAAGTGGTGATCATGATTGGGACTGTGTCCATGGATGACTCCTGTGCTGCTCTGCTGGCTAAATCTGGGATCATCCCTGCACTCATCGAGCTGCTGAACGGTAAATTTGCCATGTGTGACCTGTGCACAGCAGGAGCTGTGATTGGCTTTACTCTGTCCTTGCAGTGCAGGGGTTGGTGTTTGTATGAGGAAGGAGGAGCAGTTACTCTGTTAGTGATGGATTCTGAGTAGTGGTTTCAGAGATTTGGGTTTTCCCACACCTTCATAACTCTTTAACCATCAAAAGCTTCTATTTGTGAGATTTAAAATCGTGGTGAATTTTTTTTTCCTCCTTGCAGCTCAACAGGAAGATGATGAGTTTGTCTGCCAGATCATCTATGTATTTTATCAGATGGTGTTCCACCAAGCCACCAGAGATGTCATCATCAAGGAAACACGTATCTTTTTACAGATTAAACATCTGGAGTTGCAGCACTTAATTTGCCATTGCTGGTTTGACTTCTGTTTCTCTTGCAGTAACCTCATGATCTCAGAGGTTTCTTTGTAAATGTTTATTTCAGCTGAAATAAAAATCCAAGCAGCCTAAGCATGTAAAGGGACTGTAAGGTTAATAGTAAAGATTAAAACTTAGTTTGCTTTGAAGCAGGGAGGGGAGTAGAAGGGGGATCACTGGACCAGCTGACTCACTAGTTGCTATCCAATCTGATTTACTGTCTGAATTTGTTTTGCAAATCATAATTAAATTCATAGTTCATAGAAGAACATATGTAGAGCACAAGCAAACTTTTTGTATTGCAGCATTGTACAAATATGTTGCATGGTCTGAAATTTTGTGGGCCTTAACTGAATGTTGAATTATATTGAAGCATTCAGAATGGGCTGAATGAGCCCTGTGAGTGATAGCAAATTAGTGATTCCATTGCTAACAATACAAAGAATACTTCTTCATGTTCTTTTCGCCTTTAATCTCTGTGGAATATCTGAGAAGCCATTTGGGTGGTTCTTGGTGTCCTGTTTGGACTCCTAGGTTGCTTGCTTTAAAAAATTAAATATAAGAAGTTGCATCTCTTGCTAATTCTGGAATGATCAAGCACCAACATTTGAAAAATGCTTTCTTGCTACATGAGATGAAAATTTCCTGCTTCTGCTTCTTAGTGAAATTTGAAGTTTGAAGAACCCAGGGTTGTGAGGGGGAGAAAACAAATGTTTTTCTCCTTAACAGCTGCTTTGCAGAAGCTCCAGCGTACCTCATAGACCTGATGCATGATAAAAACGCTGAGATCCGCAAGGTCTGTGACAACACTCTGGATATCATAGCGGTAGGTCTGGCTTTCTTCATCCTTCCAGAGCCTCTTTACACAAGAGAATGCTGAAATAACTAAATATATTGCAAATCAAAAGTATTTTTCTTGTGCCACTTTCTAACCATATGGATAAAAGATGAATTTTCAGGGCACAATGACAATCATTAGGCTGTGCATCAAACTTCCAAAAAAGTGTGTGTGTATTTTGAAAATTCATACAAGTTACCTTTACACTTTTAAAAAGTGCTTCTAGACTTTTATAAATTAGTCACATTACATAAGTGTGCCAAGTTTTCATTATTTCTTAGTTCTCCAAACAAATGGCTCTTGTTACCCAGCAGCTTTATTCAGCTTCTCTACATTGCCTGATGCCAATATTTGTTTCAAAAAGAAAATGTGGCAGCGATCCTGATGCTGGCTGTTCCCTGCTGAGGGAACAGTCACTGTAATATTGTCTTCACCTTTTGGATAGGTTTCTTTAGCTACATAACTTAATTTGTCCAACAACCCATGGATCACAGTCAACTTTTGGGACAGTTGTATTACACTGGTAAATTGGAAAAAAGAAAGAATACTGAATTATCAAGTAATGTTGAGGATTGTAGTGACTACATTCTTTTGGGTATAGAGTAGCTGTCATGAAATTAAATTTTATAGTCAAAAACAATTTAAGTCAAGAGCAGCAGTACCTATGGCTTTTTCAGTCATCTACATTGTTCCTTTTTCAGTTTAATTGCATGTATTCCAGTTCGTTCTCTGAAAAGTTCAATATAGTTTAAGGCTGAACTTACACTGCAAAATCCTATATATAGTCTTTATATAATTAATAATGTCTTCTAATTTAATAGTGAAATAACATAATATTTTCTGAACTGGATTTCTTTTTATCTGGCTCTGCCTTTTCTTCATGGAGGTATGGAATGACAATCTGCTCCAGTGGCAGAGTTGCTGTAGATATTCATTAAGGACTATATTTAAATTCAGATGAATTTACACTTAGTACTTATTTATGATGTGCATCATGTTCAGCTTAATATAATCAGCTATTTCTAGGGACATCTCCAATAGTAACAGTGGAAAGACTTTTTTATCTTCGGGGTGAAGCTGGACAATCTAAGTGCATCAAGCACTTGTTTTACCTTGAGGCCAGTGCAATTTTGAAGTGACTCACATGTTGATTTGTTTGAATGGGGAAGCTTTACAGTGAGGTGTGTTGTAATATTATTAAGCAAAATTTATAGAATCTATAAGAATAAACATACAAAAATACAGCTTCACAGTCAATATTACCATCTGAATAAAATATACTTGGCTTTTTTTTACCTTCCTAAGAACACAAAATCTTTATGCTCACCATGAGTCAGTGAGGAGTGCCAAGATAATGGATGGGAAAGGCTTCTCAACTTGCAAAAAGCCCTGGACAGGACTTTCAGGGCCTTGAGGAAGAATAAAGGGAAGAAATGTTGTGCTGTGGTTACTGGGAGTGGAGAAGGAGACACCAAACACATACTGAGAGCAGCTTGCATGGTGGTAAATTATATTTTTCTTTGCTGTGGAGCAATGCCACACTTAGAATGGTGTTAGCTGGTGAGTTAGGAGAGTTCCTTTTCCAAGAGCCTCTTTCTGGCTTTATTATTTGGGCGTTGGGGTTATAAGTTGCAGGAACACCATGACCCTGAGGGGAACAGGAAGCATAATGTGCTCTCTTTTCTGGAAGACAAAGAGAACCACTAATTAATTGATTGCTTTCTCAGTCATGTTGGAATCTGGTTGCACTTGTGTCTCTCGGTACAAAAAAATCACAAAGCAAAAAAGGCAATGTATTCTAAATAGTGATGATAGGAATTATAAGAGAGTTAAGTTATCAGAAGCTCAGATCTTGCTAGGTGTTAAAGGAATGATACAGCAGGCTATAAACACAGAGGTGTTTGGTTGTGGGGCAGTTTTACACCAGCAGTGCCTGCTGAGGTGTCTGAACAGTCTCCAAGAGTGATGGAACTTCTTATCTGTGCTAAATCCACAACAAACAAACCTTCACTTTTTGGTCTTGTTGCACACATGCTGACAAGAGCAAGTCTTCTGATGGAAGTCAGAAAATAAATGTTGGGGAGTAGATTTGAAAATAATTTCTACTCAAGGAGACAAATGCTTCTTTCACTCATCAATGAGCTGTATATACTGTGATTGAAATAGCACTGGAGAAAATCACATGGCTTATAAGCCTTAGGGGAGAAATGCTTTCTGTAGTAAAGTAATTGTCACAGAAATTATGGAAATGTTACACTAGTGATGATTTGTTTAATATAGCTTGGCTGGACTCTGCCACTGATGAACTGAAACAGATGTGCTGCTTTAGCACAATATATACTGGGCAGTCTCAGTTTTGCACTGGGAGAAGCAAGATATCCCTTTTGTCAAAAAAAGTCTGAGTTGATGATTTCAGAATGCTTTAGTTTCAGTCATGTGCTGAGCTTTGGCAGCAAGCAGTCAGTTCAGTGTTCTTGTGCTCCTAAAGAGTGGGGCAGCTCTCAGGGCTTAGCTGAAGGCCTGGAATCAGCAGCTGGTACAGGAGTCTCAAGCAAATTAATATCCCTTTTCCCCTGGTTCAGAAGCCTGGAGAACTGCAGCTCCAAGTTTGTGGAAAGATATGTCAGCTTACCTGAGATGGTTTTATTCTGTTCACTTTAGGCAACATTATCAAGAGCCAAGAGAACTACTAATCTCTCAGGTTCCTTATTATTTTTCTGCTCCTACTCAGTTTAATTGCAAACTAATTTCCTCATTTATACAAAGGATATTTAATTAACCATCATCAGATCCTAGGACTCTGTAGTCTGACCCTTTCGCCTGATTTTCCTCTTCAGTGCCTTTGCAGCTTTGAATCCAGATCTGCTCTATGTACCATCATGTTTCTCTTATGATCAAGAGTGGATCACAATACTTCCTACAGCAGTAAAACATCTTTTAGTTACAGCATTGTCCATGGGATTTAGGAAGAGCCTCATGTCTAAGCTGTTTTACCAGCTCTCTTTCTTTGCCCTGAGTATTTGTAATGAATGGCAAATAATGTTTGCCTTTTATGGATTTCATTGTTAATGAACAGTTTGCATCTTTCTGTGTTAGCTAAGCTCCCTGATAGAAATCCTTTATGTTGGGAATGCTGGAATTTCACCTTAGAAGCAGGAATGTGCTGTGAACCCTCTGTGCTCTGGGGTTTGGGGCCAGCTGTATGAGATATTGGCCAGCTCTCTTAGAGTCAGGGAAGAGCAGACCACAGGGATTTGGTGTGGGCTTTATTTGAATGGCCAGCATGCTCTGAAAATAGATAACCTTTGACTCCAGCTTGGTGTCCTCTTTCCATGAAGAGTGCTGCAGTCACTCCAGGAAAAAAGGTGCTCCCTACACTTGACAGGACCCCCTTTCTGTGGTGCATCTTGTTGCCCTGTTATCCTGTAGCAAACATGAAAACAGAGGGGTGGGCAGAAGGGCAGCGAGGGGCTGGGGCTGCAGCTGAACTTTCCTGTGTTCATTGTTCAATTTGCCAGCAGTCTGCTTTGGTCCTGGTTGCTTCTTGTGGCTCTGCCTGCAGCAGAGTAACCACAGGCAGCATTAGATAGGGCAAGAGCATCCTGGTTGTTTTTGTCTTCACATAAAACCTGCCTTGGACAGATTCTCTTTCAGCACTGGTGCCTGCTCTCTGGCTTTGTAGGACTGGGAAGGTCAAGCAAACCACTGATCTGTTACATAACAGGTTGCCATAACATTCCTCCAAAAGGGACATAAAAAAAGTTTCTCTAGCTATTGCCAGTGTAGGAACTTTGAGAGTGCCCTACATTTTATGGAGCCACATAAATTTAGAGGGCATCAATGATTACTCTTTTTTCCTTGCCTTGCCATTAGTTTCAGCTCTCAGATTAGTGTGAGCTTCCTGTCAGAATTTATTTATAGTATTGAAGCTGATTGTGAAGCAGTGACTCCAGGATGCACAGGTGTAAGTGGTGGGAGGATTTTTTCCTGCCCTGTGAAGGAATTACCCTGCAGTGGTACTTACCCTGAGGTAGGTGTGGTAGGCACCTGCAGAAGGTGATCCCTAACATCTGTTTCTCTCCTTGGTTTATAGAGGCACAGAGTTAAAATCACATGCCTAACTTTTGAATAGCTAGACGAGATAAATCTTTTCTTTCTTAATAAATAGTTAATTTAATATTTCATGTAAACAGTAGGTTTTTAATGAAGAATGTAACAAATCACTGAGTAGAGCCTTGAGCATAATGAGCCTTCTACTTATTGTACAGCAGTTTTGGTTCAGGATGAGGAATCACATCAAATGAACCCTACTACAGACCCAATTAAAGGGCAACCACATTAAAGTGAAAAGGAAAATCTGTTTTTCATCAGCTGTGAGGGAACACAAAGCAGATCTGTGTAGCTCTGTGTTATCCTATAGTGTGTTAATCAGATACAAGGTGTGACGGAAGCCAGTGACAAAGGGGACCCTGATAGGGAACAGACACGCTCTGATAATGGGCCAGTTAACGCTTCATAATATTTCAATGGTTCAGTAGTAAACAAAGCTGGAAGGAGAACTTCAAAAAGGATGGCACATTCCTCCCAGAGTCAAGCTATACATCTTCTATGACACTTCTGGATTTATGGAAACCGAATGTTAAAACTAGTGATGTCAGGGAGCTCCAAAGAGAATAAAATCAGCTTTGAGAATTCCTCCTTTTAAGTTTCTGACCATGACTGCCGCGTTTGAGGGGGGTGGTGCTGGAAAATAGGCACATTCTGTTCACCTTCTCATTCTCCTTTGCTTTTCCAGTAACCTAACATTTAAAAGGGCTGGAGCTCAAAGCTATAGGTGTATCTCCATAATTTTTAGCTTTCTGGTTTTGTTTGCAGAGATTCCCTTTTAAAAAAATGAGGGCTTCTCCTTCTTTTTGTTTAAAAAGATTTTGTGTTTAAAAATCAAAACAACCCCCCCCCCCCCACACACACACACAATAGTAATAAAAAAGATTTTAATAGCTCCAAATATAATTACTGGAAGAGTTGCAGTCTTTTAGGGAATTGTTTTGCTCTAAATGTCTTTAATTTTGTTTCTTTGTGCCTTTTGGCTGTAGTCCTGCATTTACAGCTTTTCTTCCATTCTGATGTTATTCCATTAATCATTTACCCAGTGGTGGTTCTGCATATTTCCATGGAAAATCTACAGACATATTCCTGATGTAACACTACTTAACTGAACTTCTTTTGTGCTGAGGTTATGTAAATCATTCTAGACTACTACAAATCTTCCTTTTCTGTGATTGCTGCCAGAATGACACTCCTGACAAAACTGATCATTGATCTAGTTCTGGTGCAGTCACTTCTTTGTAACATTTGTACCTTGCTGTTTTCACTGGGAATGAACAGCAAGAATAAAGTTGTCAAAAGTGCTTGAATGGATAAATTGTGGTTTTTAAGTAATGTGCTGTTCAATTGTTAATACCATTTTCCAAAATTTAGATTAATTATTGAGGAAAAATATCTGGAAGTCTTAAGCCTCTTAATATAGCATGGGAAATGTAGAATATATTCTGCCCTGCTGTCATCAGCTGAAGGAGTTAGAATCTGAGAAATGTTAAATGATTTTTGCAAGAGGATGTAAGAAGTTGATATCTATTTCTGACAGATAATCAGCATGTTCAGACAGTGGTGTGAGTGGAACTCTGATGTCAGGAACTGGGATACATTTAGGGTTGTAACTTTGGGAATATTCTAGTGTTTTCAAAGTGCATTGATGGTAAATATGAATGAGGTGATTTAGCTGATGGCCTTTTGGCTTTTGGGAACTTTGAAAAGTAAACAGGATAATGTAAAAGGGATTCAGCTTTCACAGAGCTTAATCTAATTTGCTGTTTGTTAAATTTGTTTATTTTCCTCCCCTTCTTTGCAATCATGACTTCTGGGAATAGTGTTCTTGAGAGTGCAGTATGATTTCTGGCAGGTACAAGATGTTTCTCTAAAGCCTGTAAGTAATTCACAACTGCTGGAGGGTGACATAACAGCCAGCCCAGGGTTTAGCTCTGGCAGATGCAGCAGAGGAGCGGTTTCCAAGGTGATGGTCAGATGTCATCACTGAAAGTCATGCCTTGTCTTTTTTGTATGGGTCATTTTATAAATTTCAGTGATGAGCTTGCTTTTTCCAAGTTTTTATTGTTACTTCTAGTTTTTCTTTTTAATCAAGAGTGGAAATGGGAGGAAAAAATCAAGAAATAGCCCGAGGGGTTCTTTGCCAAACAGTATGAGGTGTTTGTGTTTGTTGGATTTTGGTTTTGTCTCTTCTCCCTCCCTAAGACTGCAGTAATCCTGACAGATGAAGTGGAATTTTGCTTCTCTAGTCACTGAGAATATCTACAGATCCCTCAGGTGATACTTGCTCTGGGTGTGGAAGCTGAGCAGGACACCAGGTTTTGGACAGGATCACTGAACAGGAGTGCCAAGATGGTGAGGAGTAGAATTAGCAAGGTCTAGGAACCAGTGTTGATCAGAGCTGGAATTGGAGAAATTGAGAATAATGAAATCTTGGATGTTCTGCATACTTAGTGGCAATATTGAAGAAGCCTTTGCCAGACTGGCAAGGCCAGCTGGCATTTGTGTTATCCACCAGCCCAAAGTGGAAAAGACACAGGGTAGAGAGTGTTACCTGTGGAACATGTATGGCATCAATGAAGACAAGGCTAGTTGAATATTAAGTCAGTTTAAAACCTCTAGTTCAGACTATAGAGTTTTCAGGAGTTGAACCTGAGCTCCTAAGCCAGCTGAGTCTGCCTTCTCTGCCATTTTATGGCCTCTGGTTGTAGGCAGATCTACTTTGGCATGTCTGACAGGAGCAGAAATTCCCACTTCCACAACCAAGGCATTGTTACTAATTGTGTATCATCTTCAGAGCTAAGTAAAACAGATTTTTAAAGCCTTAAACTACTCCAGCTTGGATCTCTGAGGAAAGTCTAGATCGTGTGTTCATCACCATGAGAGTTAAGAAATTATTTTCAACTTTTCTCTCCTTTGTAGTTAGGTTAGAAGACAGTGGAGTGGGATGTGTTTCACAAGGATATTTCTTTCCACAAGAAGAAACATTCTGGTTAGGGATATTATTCTTGCTCACAATACTTTGGTTTAAAAAAGCACAAATTGTGGTGCATTATTTGTAACTATTCCCAAATTGATACCATGTGCAGATTTTCATATGTTGATGAGCTTCCTAGAGATAGCTGGGCCCTATCTTCCCAGCAGGATTGAGGAACTGACTGTTACCCATGGACTGGTGTTCCCTCTGTGGAAATCAACAGCCCCCAAAATCTGCTCTGTTGAGAAGATCCTTCTCTGCACAGCTGATTCCAGTGACCATAGGTTATCTCCCTTCATGTTGGTGTCCCTTTACATGAATATCACATCACTTGAGTACAATTAGGCTGTAATCCAGATTGAAATGTCATGCCTACATATTTTTCTGTAGTGACTGGAACCTATATCCTATTTTACTCAGCTTTCTGGAGAAGTTCCTCTCAGAGTTTACTTGCCTACCATCTTTGTGGTTGTTTGACATTATTCATAAAATTTCACAAGAAGTTGAAATTAAATTCATGCTGGAGCTTATGAAATTAAAGTAAATTTATTCGTTTTATCACAGCCTTTTTTCTTAATAATTTTTTTAGTAACTAGTTGTCCTAGAAAATGCTCATCTAATCAAGGTGTGCACGGTTTTTCGTCAGTGCTAATAATTAATTATAAAAAATCCCCTGAAGATTGGTAGTAATTGGGTCTTCTCAATTAAACCAAATGAGGAGACTGCTGATGGAACTGTTCTGTTCAAAGTAGGAGTTTTTACTGGATGGTGTGAAGTTCCAAACCATGAAGGGAAGATTGTACTGCTGTAGCACAAACCCAAATAATGCCCAATGCTTGCAAAATCCCTTTTGCTCAAAAAACATGAAGCTGAGTAGAGCGTTTAAGTCACTGGACCCTGAACTGGCATCTTTTGCTGATGATGGATTCCCCTGCCATTTCCTGTTACACCAGCTTTCTCTACAGCTGATCCTAAACCACTGTGTGGTGATTTTTACCAGGAATATGATGAGGAATGGGCTAAAAAAATCCAGACGGAGAAGTTTCGATGGCACAACTCGCAGTGGCTGGAGATGGTGGAGAGCCGGCAGATGGACGAGAGCGAGCAGTACCTGTACGGGGATGATCCCATCGAGCCCTACATCCATGAGGGGGACATTCTGGAGAGACCTGACCTCTACTATAGTGCAGGTAAAGCAGCACCTGTCACTATTTGACACTGGGATTGCCACCTCTGCATTTCCAGTGGGAGCATGAGCAGGGCCTGACTCAAACCAGTATTACAGTTCCTGTTTTGTGGTACTGGGAGCAGCACTGATGCCAGCCAAGGACGGGCTTGTCCTTTTTGGGGTTGATGCCATGGAGTGGCTTCCTAGGACAAGATTAAGAGAGTAAAAGTGGGCATTTATTAAAGGCCTTCAATAGGTACACCTTGGGCAGCCAGAAGCCTTCTAGAGGCTATACCCAGGATTTTCAGACAATTATAAGTTTGGTTCATTTACATATCAAGGGTTAATCCTCCAATTACACCTTCAGGTAATGAAGTCATATTCCCCCAGTTTGCTGCTCCCCATTTCACTTTTTGTTGATACTTTTCAGGGCCTGAGGCTGTAGGGTGCCTTGAGTTTCAGGCCCAGAGGGATTGTTTTGTGTGACCAAAATGTGGATACAGTAGCTAACACTCTGTATGGAGTTTAGAGTTATACACTAAAGCAGTACAGGATTTGAAAAATACAAAACCTAAAATCCTAAGACATCAGGGTATTAGTAATGGATTAAGTACTGCATATCCATGATTTTAGGAAATGTTACAGGTCTGCAGGAATAATGAGTAGACCTGTCTCAGAGAGCTGATGGACCATGACAATGGAGTCAAGTAAAAGTGGTCCATGCTTGTTCTTCCCACCTATTTCTTGTGTCCATAGTTTGCTTGCTCTCTAAACAAAATCTTCTCATCCCTGTTAAATTCACAGCTATAGGATTTATGCTGAGTTTTGTTCTGCCTATTGTTTTAGTTGTGCAATGGGATTTTTATTGCAGATAATGATGAAAGACTTCAGTTGAGTCTCAGCAAACTTGTAGATTCTGTAGCAGAGGCCATAATTTCATGACTTTAATCCACCTGTATGATTTTTGCTGTTGTATATCTAGGATTTAGGGAAGTGTGTGAATCTCTTATGTAAATGCTGATTTATCTAATCCAGTGTTGCCAGCTGTTCAGGAGGAAGGTTCAATAAAACTTTGCAGGAGACAATAATGAAATAATTTGCCCAGTGGATAAATGTCTTCATAACTTTTTGTAACTAGGAGTTGGCTTACCCTCTCAAACTTGTGGGTTTAGATCCTTTTCAAACTCCTGGATAACTGAATGCATGATTTTTTGCTTTTTTTTAATTGCTGGGTTTGAGTCTGTGTTTTTCATTATCCACATAAGTGTCCAGTCCTCTGCCATGAAGTATGAGTCACAAAATTCTGTGACTCTGGATCAATTTGCAGGAAGAGTAATTAGAAAAACAAAACCACTAAACCCCATAGTCTTCACTCATAGCTGCTGCAAGAAAATAATTGTGCAAGATCTCAGTAGCATTTCAAATACTGTTCTCAAAGGATATCAGAACATAAGGCTTCTTTTTCTTCTGCCATAGCAACTTGCCTCTTAGTGTCATAGTTTTTCCCTTTTGGATTTTTTGTGTTGGAATTGATACTTGACTGGGAAGGAAAGGTAGAATTCTGGTGATATGTTGTGCAGATGTTTGAAATGTGCTTTTGTTTTTAAAGGTAGCCCTTTTTAAAGAGTGATTATATTCAAAAGGTAGATTCACTTCTCAGGTTCATTGCAACAAGTGTCAGTAACTGTGTGCTTCTGCAATTTCCTAGACTTCAGCTTTGAAATGTGGCATCTCAAAAGTGACATGATATTCCTTTGAAAAGGCTATAGGTTGAGGTATCAATTGGAGTAGGGATTTGGATTTCTGAAGGACAGATCATTACTTAGTGAAAAAACTCCCAAACTCACCAAAAGAACAAATCTTTATACAGTCAGAAATGAAATACTTGTATTTCAGTTTTATAATTTTAGAAGTGATCTACACTGATGGCTGTCAGTACAAGTCCCACATTGACCATAATCGTTCTTGAGCTCACTGATGGCAAGATGAGTTCCTTATTTCCTGACAGGCCAATCTCTCTCTTGCACAGTAATTTAAATCTACATGAAAAATGTGGTAGAATCTCTGAAGTTACCTTCCTGAGCTCAGTGCCTCTTGCTCTGAAAGTACATGACCTAATTTATGTTGAAATGTACATAACAACAGATGTCCTTTAACTGTGTAATCACATTTTCTGCAGCTGATGCTCTCCATGTGCTTTCATTTTCCTATAAATTCATGTGAGCCATAACTCTGAGTGTTATGGTTTGACTGTTAACACTCTTGATTGAAGACACTTTAAGTAGTGGTAGCAGTAGCCTCAGAGTTAAAATGTAGTGCTTGCTTTATTAATACAGAGGCATATGTTATTTTTATGTTTCTCTGCTCTCAAAGAAGAGAAGTTTTAACCTAGCCTGGCTATTTAAAAGACATAGTCACTTAAAAGGATTGCTTTTAATCTGAAGTGCTGCAGGTATAAAAGTGATATAAGTGATAAAAGGTCCTCCTCATTTCAGTTCAGTGGAGCATACAGACTAGGGGGTGAGCTAGAAAAAATTGGCACAAGTCTTAATAAAGGCCATTTCAACTTTCCTTTCACTTCTTTGGACATTTTCTATTTGTGTGATGTCACGGGGTACCCGTGTCCCACTGAATATGCTGAGAGACAGCAATATTGATCCCTGCCAGAACACTTGCTTGTCAAGTCATACTCCTTCACATACTGTACACACATGTCTGCAATTAGAACATGGCCCTGTACAGCAATCTGATGCTGCTAAAATGTGGTCTGATCATGGCTGGCATTTTTCATTTGCAATCTGCTGCCTTGCATTCAGTCACTTTCCCATGAGGTAGTATCTTCTAAATGAATCTCTGTAGCACCTCATCAAATGTCTCTTAGAAATCTAGATGTGTCAATTCTATTCCTTTTATCACTTGTCACTATATTATCTTCAAAAAACATCAGGTAAATTCATAAAGCACAGGGAGATTTGTTTGAATGCCAGAGTCATCATCTCTAAGCCCTTGTGTCTGTAAGTAACTTTCCACTGCTTCCTGTGCAGGCAGTTTTAGTAGTTTGGAAACCACAGAGGTTAAGCTAAGTGGCCTGTGACTCCCTGGATCTTATCTCTCTTTCTTTAAAGTGGAATGGCATTTGTAACTTCCTAGTCATTAGGAATCTCTGTCTTCCCTCTCTTAAACTCTTAATGTATGTCTGGATGTACCTGTTTCTGCCCTGGTTTTATGGGGATGCTTTCTGCACTTCCAAGTCTGGAATTGTTTTCATACAGTGATGGAGACAAACTGATGTAGGGGCCATTTAAATTAAGGAGCTTGTTTTATCTGATTAGAGCCTAATACTAATTACCAAGTAAGAACTGTACCCTTAATATTAAAAAGAAATGCGTTTTGTGAATGGGAGCAGCAAAGAGTTAAGCTGAGCTCTCATTCAGCTGGGGTCAGTTGAGTGACTTTACTTCAAAGACACTCTCTGGGTTTACATTGATGTAACAGAAGGAATATGTTAGCTCCTGATTTTCTTTTCCTCATAAAGCAAGCAGAGACTGTGAAGCCTTTAAGGAATACTTCTGGCTTTACAAATGTCTGCATCTTCATATGCCAGTGTTGTAAAGGAAGCACAAAAAATCTGTAGCCTATGTTCTTGAGAGGATATAAATTGTAAAGCCTGTCCTTTTTAGAAAGAGCTCTGAGATATTAAAAGATGGGCAAGATAAAATAAATACATTTGAAGTCACTTTCTTGTTTTTCTCAACAAGTTTGAAGAGATACCGTGGTGCAGCAGAGTCTGAACAATTAAGACCTTTGCTTCTTTTTTATTTTTATGCTGCAGATTAATGTTTTACCGTTTTCATTACTTGTTCTCTGGGCTTACTTTGATGGGTCTTTAAATAACTTTTATAAGGCTTAAGGAAGAAGAGCTAAGAGAATATTTCTTAGGTACAGCATTTTTCAGGGCAGTGAGCTGATGTTCCTTGGAGTCCCATTAAAGACTTTTTTGTACTTGAAGTTGCCGAGTTTCAGTATTATTATTAATTTTTGTTCCTCACAAGAAATGCTGTAAGTTAAATTTCTAATGAATTGCTAAAAGAAACCAGGACGGGTGGTTTTGCCACTTGCCCTCAATCCTGCTCCTTGACAAGTGGCTGTATTTTGTTTCCCTAGATGGGCTGATAGCCCCTGATGGAGCGGTGAGTCCAGATATCTTCGGGGATTACCAACTTCAGAATGGAGACCTGGTTGGGCAGCACCCCTTTTCCAGCAAGTAAGTTGCTCCTACTAAGGAATTCTTATCATTCAATGGCTCTTCAAGTTTCTTTTAGGGCTTCATTTGTAGTGGTCAGTAATCTTTGCCCCCATAGCAATAGGAATGATTTACACTCACTGCACAAGCAGTTCTAGTCTGTAGTCTGAATTACACGTCTATTTTAACATCCTAACCTGCTGTAATAATTCACAGCTTTCCAAAAGCTGTCGATTAGAACAGTAACACAGAATACACCCCCTGTTATGACAACTACTCAAATACTCTTCAGACCCTGGGAAACATCTAAAGAGAGGCTTGAGATGCTGATTGTTTCCAGTATTCTTAAAATTAAAAGAAGTCTTTCTTAAATTTAAAATAAGCTGCTGTGGGTTTGGTGTTTTTTTGGTGTTTTTCATATACCTAAGCCTTTCCAAGGTATTCCTGGTTAGATTCCTGAGGGCACTTTGAAAATGGGCTATAGGAACAAAAGGGATCAGCTTATGCTGATATTCTGGGAGATCTTTCTCTGAATTTCCTCTCTGGTCTAAGATCTCTATGTTGGCAAGCTGTTCCAGTTTGAATTTCTGAGTAAACTTCTCCCCTGAGTTCAAAATAGAAAAGACTCATTTTCAAGAATGGAATCTTCATAAATCTTGATGCTGTAGTGTTCAGGAAGTGCCTTTTATAAAGCATGAATTCTGTGCACTCATGAGCAGGAAATAGTTCAAACATTTGATAGTCAAGGTACAGTATTCACTTCAATAGGATCCAGCTACCTGGATATGCCCAGCCCTGAGGCTGAAGCTGTTTCTTTGCAAAGGAAGAATGTTCTTTTCACCACTAAACACTTTAGTCACCATTTGTAAAATGTAAGTCACTCACAGTACTTACAGTATGAAGCAAAAAAGATTTTCCTCCCTTACTTTGGCTTCTTGTAATTTATCAAGGATGGTTGACAGGTTAATTTTGTTGGTTTATTCTACCTGTGATGCACCAGAAAGCTGAACAATGAGTAAGTGTTGGAGTGGTGGTAACATTTTTAGGGACAAATTAAAATAACTAACATGCTCAGAAAAAAGCAGGATTTGAGATGAATCTTCTAGAAAAATGTAAATAAGTAAGCATGAAGTTCAGAGTAGTGTGAGTCTGTGTGTTTGGGAAGGGGATGCTGGTGCCTGTGCTGATCATTTCCAAATGTTCAACCTTTGTTGCAGAACTTGCAGGTGGGAGAGAAACTGAGGTAAGTGTGAGCTCTGTGCTGCTCTTGGGGTCTCAGTGGGTGACTCACCATTTTTAGCTTCACAACAGACACACAACCCACAAGGTGATGGATTTCTCTGTTCACCAGGACATTGGAGGGTTCTCCCAACAGTTTCAAGCCCACCTGGAGGTGTGGGGAAAAGTGTGTAGGGTAGAGCTTGCAGACTCCTTTGTTTCCAGTAAACCTAGAGAAATGTACTTAGTTAACTTAGAGAAAGCCCCAGTCAAGAGATTCATAAAACAGAGAGTTTTCAGCTGGGAAACAAAACAATCTTCAGTGTCCTTGGTTAAAAGTGCAGGCACATCAGTCATCTTCAATTTGCAGTCCCTCATCAGGGAGCTCCAGTAGTAACCTGTTTTTTAATCTGATTGTATTCCAGCTAACATGAGTAGCAAAATACATCTGGTGTATACCTAGTTAAGTATTTGTAGAATTTTCTTGCATGTTTTAAGGCGTTCTGAAGGCTCACCTCAAGAATGAAAACAGAAGAAATGCAGGTTGGCCCATTGATGATGGGCTCTGGAAATACTGGGATTTCTGGGTAGAATTCTGTTTTCTAGGAAGATTTCTTTCAGTATGATTGCTCCACGGACTTATCTGCAGTCCAGACACACAGTCTAATTGGAAACAGTGTGGAGTGCTGCAAATGTTCTGTCTTATTTGTAGCAGAGCAGGAGTGAATTGTTTGATAGAATAGATACTGGCAGCTGAGTGGCGAATCCAGCTTCTCACATGTGGGTTATTATGGGTTGGAACTGCTTGGCGCCAGCAGCCAGGATTTCCTGATGCTCAGACCTAATGTAAAATGCATTAGTGCTCCAAGGCATGAGCCATGGAATTGCCAGTCCCATGAGTCTGGAGCTCCCTTCTCCCAATTTGAACTGGTGTTGGAAGGTAAAACCATACGTGCTACAGAACCTAATTAAAAATAATAGCAGCAAGTCAAGGCGCTTTTTATGTGTTATATAGTGTACATTTCAGCCATACCAAAACATAATTCTGGGGTATTTTTATGCTTACAGTTTAAAGCTAACAAGAACCTTATGTCAAGGATTTATTTTTAACCAGTTCCAGCTTTTAATAAATCAAGATTTTTGTTATAAAAATGGTTCATTTTTCTATTAATAATATTTGAATATGTTTTAGAAACTTTTTTAGCAAGAAAGCTGAGTTGTGGTTTTCATAGACAATTAGCAAGTCAGTTAATAGTAACATGTTTTGGAAGTTCAGAGAGAGATTGCTAATTATGAGTAGATGCTTAGTTTTGGTCTTTTCATTTGTTATACTTTTTTATTTATTACATATTTATTTGTTATGCCCATGTCTTCTGGTCTTTGCCTTTTATATTAGGCTTTTCAATTCTGTAATAGAAGCAGTTTTTGCTAGGCAATGGGGTGAGTTCTGAAGTCTCTTTGTCATTTAAGAGAGGGTCTCTTTGCCATTTAAGACCACCCTGTGAATTCTGAGGTAGGTAACAACTGTGAGCAGACTTCTTGCTCCTCAGCCTTGAATAATTTAATCCTTTCTTCTCCTTTCTGCATTCCTATGAGAAAGAATGAGGATGTGTTACTTCTTTAATTTCTCTGAGGCTATTTCCCGTCCTTGCAATGTGCTCAGAGTGGATCAGGACTTTGTCTTGCCTCCAGGAGTGCTGAAAAGGCAGCCAGAAAGTCCCATGTTTTTCGTGGCTGCACATCACTGAGAAACTGAGTTTGTGTTGAATTGGTGTTGGTGCCCTCCATTACCAAGGCTTAAGTGTGTTCTGATCACCATCCTAATTTTTGGAGCCAAAGAACTGTGTCTGTGAAGAGTGGCTGTCAAAGGACCACAGTGAAACTCAAACTGTCTTTCAGATTTTCCCTGTAAGTTATGTTTGATAACAGCCCCCGCCACCTGCCATGTGTGGTATTGTTACTCCAGTTACATTGTGAACTTCCTTGGCTGGGGGACGCTGTTCTAGCAGAGATCCAGGGCATCCTCTGCCATTGCAATTCCACTCTTTCATTTGGGAAAATTCAGGGCAATTGCAGCAGCAAATGTATTTGAAGCTGCAGTTGCTGAAGTGGTTGACTGTCCTGTAATGCAGTCGGGATACCATCAGCATCTCTTATGGAGTCCCTGTCCCAGGAGGAGACACTGGACCTAGACATCTAGAGCTGCTGCAGTCTTAAGGAAGGTAGGGAGATGCTTTTTTGAAGTTAAGCAGAACAGGAATTAAAAATAGTTTAATTATGTATAGGCATCTGCACTCACTGGGTTACCACATTGGGGCTGTTCTCCCCTGTCATTTTCAAGAAGGAAACATGAAGTGACAGCATTGGCAGTAAAAACATCTGTTGATCTGGGGAGCTGTGTGGAGTGTCTTGGAGGCTTTTTTCCAAAAGACATGGCTTTCCCTTCATGAGGTGTCTTGGACTTTTCCTTTGAAACCTGGAGTAGTGTTACTCTCAGAAGTTGAGAATGCCACCTCACATGATCATGAATTGTGAAGTAAAGAACAACTTTGAAGGGAATTGTAAAAGTATCTAGCTCTGAATTTAGTTTGTAGATTTGCTTGCATGCTTGCTGTTCTGGACATGTCCACATCCTGGTAATTGTTATTTCTGCTACTTGTCATCATGAAGTAGAAGCAGCACAAAAGTGAAGACCTGGGTAGCTGCCATTTTTCTGATAGTGCCACCTTGGGAAATGCTTTGTTTCTGGGGATCTAGCTTGTGTGTTTTGCAGCTTCTGTTTACAGCTCTTATCCCTGAACTATGTTCTTAGTGCAGTTGTACTGTTACCTATGAGGCCTATAAATAGAATTATTTCAGAATGTTACATCCACAGGAGCAGTGATAAAGTCCATAAACAGCATCTCTTGTTTTCCTCAAAGGTTTGGAGCATAATGCAGACAGATTGTAAGGTATGTTTCCCATTCAGCAGAAAAGATGTGGCTGAGGAGGTTGTTTTGACAGCTTCTATCCAGGTTTTTTTTCTCGGCTAGGAAAAGACTTTTGTGATTAGATTACCAGCTTTGAATCATCTTACTGTCTTTCAGAAGCAGATGGACATTAGGCATAGATTTGAAATTTTCATCTGTTATTAAAATCTGAATTCAAGGTTTCTGGTTCTGATAAGGCTTAATATTGAGTGAAAGTTTTATGATTGTGGCAAACAAAAATCCCTCACCTTTGGCTGATGTGATGACAGCTTAGTGTCTGAGCTGCAGGGGATAAAGACCAGCTGAAAGACATCTTCCAGAACCGACAGTCATTCAACAAATTTTAATCACCTTCTGGAGACTAATTACTTTCTTAAGACACAAACATAATAGTGATGGCTAAATACCTTATAATAGAGATAGCCACAGAATTTTTCCTGCCCCTTGGGGAAGAGGCCACTTCTTAACCTTTCCCAGCTACAACTAGGTAATAGTACAAACTCAGTGCAAAAGCCAATTTTTGGTTAATATCCTCAACAGAGTTCTCAAATCTTCTCAGTCTGTAGCTTTGAAAAGATTAATAGTTAGGAATGCTAGAGCTGGCCAGAACTCTTTTTTTCCCTGAGGAAATTTTTCTCCAGTGCAGGATCCTTTAACCTTGTTATAAAATGCAGCAGAGCTGCCATTGCTCAATCCTCATTTTCTCTGAGACAAGGCCTTTCTCTGTGTGCTGTTCCCAGCATGTGCACTCCCAGCTCTTCCCAACAGAGATCTGACTGAGGCTTCTTCCCAGGAAGCAGTGAGGTTTGGCATGTCAAGCACAACCAGTTTTAT